CAATTGTGCGCAGGACCAGGCAGTGTTTTATAGGGTCACTATGAGCCGGAACCAACTCGACGGTACCTAACAACAACAAACAAATGTAACATTTATATGTTTTACCTTAAAATCGATATTTAAGATGTGTATGTATATTAGTTTTCTAATATTTGTAGTAAAACTTTGTGGCTTAATACAACCATAAACACTTATTATTGCTCATAGTTTTGTGGATCCAGGATTCAGGAATGGCTTGTCTGGGAGGTTCTAGCTCCAGGTATCTCATGAAGTTCCAGTCAAATTTCCACTGGGGTTGCAGTCACCTGAAGGTTTGACTGGGACTAGAGGATCTACATTTACGATGGCTCACTCATGTCTGGTAAGGTGGTGCGGGCTGTTGGTGGGAGGCCTCAGTTCCTCTCCACGTGTGCCTATTACCTGGGCTTCTTTACAATATGGTAGCTAGGTTCCAAACGTGAGCATCTCTGGAGAGCACAAGCTGTAACCTTTTTAGAATTTAGCCTCAGGAATCACAGAGTTACTTCCATTGTACTCCCCTGGTTTGGGCAGTCACAAACCCTGCCCAGATTCAAGCGGAGGGAACACAGCAGGAGGCAGGTCAGTCACATTGTAAGGAGAGCACATGGAATGGGAGAAATATGTAGGTGTGGCCATCCTTGGAAAATATAATCAGTCACAGCATGTATACTTTTTTAATGACCCCCTTTAATCTGTATTTTCAGTAAACTTACATACTGCTCCCTTATCAAAGGCATCAAGTGAATTGGGTCTACTGTCAAATATGCAATAGCATTTAAGTTCCTTCTTCCTAATCTCTAATATTTTAAGATGCGTGAATTCAAATCCCATAGAAGTAACAAATGTATATAAATACAAGATCACAGTACATCATTGCCCTTGTCAAATTTACCTTCTAAAATACGGTCTCTGTTTCTACAAGTAGAAAAGGTCTCGAAGCTAATTTATATCCCACAGGTCACTGGAATAGGTATGGTATGCCTATCATAACGTGCCAAAAGATTATACTTACATCTCTCCTTAATGGGGGTGGGGGTGTAGTGAAAAAAAGGTTTCCACATTTCGCTTTGAATCAGGGCCCACTCTTTACAAGTTACAGTATTATAATCTTTCTAGGATCTGGTCTGATTTAAGATAATCCTCACTGTTTATACCTACATCAAATGTTCTCAAACTTAAGTGCATACGACAATTGTCTAGAGGCCTTGTTAAAACATAGATTGGTGGGCTCCAGCCCCATAATTTCTGATTCAATAGGTCTGGGGGCTGATCCAACATTCTGCATTTCTAACAAGTTCCCAGGTGATGTTAATGCTGCTGGTCCTGAGACCACACTTGGAGAACGTCTGTCCTATGTTGTCCAGTTTTGAGAGGCTTAAAAGTAAATGGTTAACAATCATTTCTGGGCTCATTTCATTTTCATAAAACTGCTTTTAGGTCAAGTCTTTTCTGCTACAATAGCTGCTTTTAGGTATTTTTAAAATACATATCTTAAAATGTTCAATGGGAAAAGAGAGGTCAGGAGCTAAAAGAGCTGTTTCTTCCTCCAGGAATTTTAATAAGATTTTTAAAATAAATGTATAACTATAAAATCTAAAAACAAACAACCAAAAAGCATTGAGCAAATAAGCCCTTGAGTACATCCACCTTTTACTCGTAAGTTAAGGCTCCCCTTGTTCTGTTATCACCAGAACTACCACTGTTGTTGTTGGTGGTGGTGCAGTCGAATCGATTTCGACTCATAGCGACCCTACAGGACACAGTAGAACTGCCCCATAGGGTTTCCAAGGAGCAGCTGGTGGATTCAAACTGCTGACCTTGTGGTTAGCAGCCAAGCTCTTAACCACTACGCCACCAGGGCTCCAGAACTATCATTAGCACAGGAATTTATTATACATTTTTAACTCCTTCATCATCTATTGTTAAGAAAAACAAAGCTCGAAGCCACTCAAACAAACTAGCTGTGTTGTCAAGCAACAGCTTTTTAAAAATATGTATATACAAAGCTTAAGACAAAATATTGGAGCCCTGGTGGTGAAGTGGTTAGGTGTTCAGCTGCTAACCAAAAGGTCAGCAGTTCGAATCCACCAGCTCCTCCTTGGAAACCCTATGGGGCAGTTCGACTCTGTCCTACAGAGTCGCTGTAAGTCAATCTACTCGACTGCAACAGGTTTAATATAACTAAAGAGCCCTGGTGTCACAATGGTTAAGCGCTCCACTGCTAACTGAAAGGCTGGCAGTTTGAACCCACCCAGTGGCTCTTTGAGAGAAAGACCTGGAGATCTGCTTCCATGAAGATTACAGCCAAGAAAACCCTATGGGGCAGTTCTACTTTGTTGCATGGGGTTCTATGAGTCAGAATCAACTTGACAGCACACAACAACAAATGTAACTCACGTTTCCTCACTAATTTTTCTATGTTATGAAATTTACACTCCTCTGGGGCTAAAGACTGTCTTAAAATTATACAAAGGTATGTTCCTTTTATCCTATTGTTAAAAACAAAAAAACTGTTACATGCAAGTGAACAAATTTGTTGTTTAAAGCTTTGTATTTGCTACGTTATTTGTAGTGGGTGTTTATCTTTTTTTGGCTGCCTAGCATCAGAACTTCCTTTCTATCTTTGGGGAGTCTGCCTCTGTGTGCAATGGAACCAAAAAGGCCCAGTACTTACTCTCCCAGATGCCTGGCAGTCAGAATGTTAGCATGGGGTCTCAAAGTGGCAAGCCCATTCCCCCTGCCCAGGACTTTAAGTCTGAAGAAAAGTAACACAGCAAAGCAGGGATGGTTTAGAAGCCATTCTGCCAGTGGTGTGGTGGTGGCAAAGCTGTGAATTCCACCAGGGAGTGACTAGTGCTGCAACATCCTAACCACAAAGCATCTGTATTCTCAGCTCCCTGGCTGCCCTTAGTTCCTATCCATATTCCAGGTTCTCCAACATTCCTATTGATTCCGTGAGCTACCCGATACGCTCTCAATAAATCTCTTTCTGCTTAAGTTAGCCAGAGTTGGTTTCAGTTGTTTGCAACTAAGAACTTGACTAGAACTAGTATAGGTCTGGTACCATCTAAGTTTCTCTTTAAGCATGATGCTAGCAGCCACTGAGTCAAACTCCTGTAAGTTTAATTCATCTATAAAATTTTTATACATCCTTTTTCCCCCAAAAACGGAATCATACGATATCCACCATTCTAACCCTTGATTTTTTTCACTTAACAATACATCTTAGAGATCATTTCATATTAAGACAGAATTTATAACAAGTAAATAATATTCCATTGTACGGGCATACTATAATTTTTCCAACCAGTTTCTAATTGACATTTAGATTGTTTCAAGTCTTTTGCTATTACAAACAATGCTTCAAGGAAATCCTTGTACCTACATCTCTGGGCTTTTGTGCACCTCTATTAGTAATAAATGCCCTCATTAGTGAAATTCACAGGTGTACGCTAAATTTCCCTCCAAGGGAATTATTGGCCAGTTTATACTCCCACCAATAACGTATGTGTATCTGCTTCCTCTACTCTATCTAATATACTGGATTATCGAACTGAGTCTTTTTCTAAACGGTTTTTAAGAATTCTTTATATACATCTGTCTGCCATATGTATTGAAGATATTTTTACCAGAATCTTTCCATTTTTAGGTATTCAACTATATCAAACTTCCCTTTTATACCTTCTGGGTTTTGTGCCTTACTAAGAAAGATCTTCCTCCCAGAAGAACGAGATGGTGCCCAGCTACCACCAATGGACGTCCTGACAGGGAACATAACAGAGGGTCCCTGATGGAGCAGTAGAACGACGGGACGCAGAACTCAAATTCTAGTAAAAAGACCAGACTTAATGGACTGACTTAAGACTGGAGGTGCCCCAGAAAGCATGGCCCCTGGTCTCTCCATCACCCCAGAACTAAAACAATTTCCGAGGCCAACTCTTCCGACAGGGATTGGACCGGACTGCGGGACATAAAGTGATACTCGTGAAGAATGTGCCTCTTAGTCAAGTAGATATAAGAGACCAAAGGGGTGACTTCTGTCCAGAGGTGAGATGGGAAGGCAGAGAGAGTTAGAAGCTGGTTGAATGTTCATGGGGAATCAGGCGCGGAGGGGATGAGTGTGCTGTCGCAGAATGGGGTGAGCGGTTGGGGTCTCGTAACAATGTATGTTAAAAAAAAAAAAAATTTGTATGGGAGACTAACTTGAAATGTAAACTTCATTTAATTACAACAATTTAAAAAAAAAAGAAAGGTCTTCCTCATTCGGAAACTACTAAATATAAATCATCCTTTGTTTTCCCTTTATGTTTAATGTTCAAGTCTTTGACATTTATTTTATTCATTTTGGAGGAAGGACTAAGGGAAAGTGCCAGCTTTGTTTTTCTCTGCATAGCCTGTTGTCCCAAAACCAGCTGAACTTTTGCTTCAACTATCTGAAATGTCAAGTTTTTCCTACACTAAATTCTATTACAGATTCGGATTTATTTCTGGACACTCCTTGCTCCTTATTGACTAGTCCATTAAAAAGATAGTACCAAACTGTTTTAATATCTGTACCTTTTATCTTAATAGTTAATACGTAGTCCAACTAATTTCCGTTACATATTAAAATAATGCATTTTTTATATGTGAAAAGACTTCTGAAATTATAATGGAATTCAAAGGGAAACTATTTTATCCATTTATAACTTTTCATGAATGTGTAATGCAATGACAAACAAATGATAAATATTTACTGGGCACCTACAAAGTGTAAAAACTTTTGAGAGGAACAGAGCTGAAAGATACTATAAACAAGTTAAGGTTCACACAGGAGCTTCAATCTGGTGATGGAGCCTGTGCTTAGATAGTCATTTTCATTCTGTCTATGCCTTTCTCTCACATACACTGTCCTTACATAATCGATTTTCATTCCCATTCTCCTTCTGTCTTTCATACATGCTCACAGGCACACGCCGTATTGTTAGACGAATACATACCTGCCAGATTTCTTTAACAGCCAAAGTAACTGAGAACAAGACTGTCTGACTAAGGCTGCTCTGACAGGAAATGTTACAGGCTGATTTAGTTCATGACATATAAATTCCATCTCCTTCACCATTGTCCAACTGTAACCTGAAATGAAAAGAAACGTAACTTTTCTGACTGGGATTCTGAAAGTCGATTAAATAAAAAACTAAATTACCTATAAGCATAAAAATTTCCATTTGAATTCAGAGTGAGTTGAATACTAGAAAATATTTTGAATGGAAAAAGTAGATTAAAAACTAAATCTAAAATCATGCCACAAGTGACTTAGAGTAAATTTAACAAAAAAAATTAAAATGTTAAAGGGATTTATAAATCACTCAAGCGCAAAAGAAGCACATTTTACACAATTTTACTTACTTTGAAGATTCTAAGGCTCTTTGTTACATATGAAAAAAAAAACCAAACCAGTTGCTGTTGAACTGATTCTGACTCATGTCGACCCCATGTGGGTCAGAGTGCTCCATAGGGTTTCAATGGCTGTGATTTTTCAGCTGTTTGCCAGGACTTTCTTCCCAGGAGCATCTGTGTGAATTCAAACTGCCAACCTTTAGGTTAGCAGCCAAGCACTTAACTGTTTGTGCCACCCAGGGCTCTCAGGTATGCTGTATTATTAATATTCGTGATAAACTTATGTTTTCCACTTGTGCTAATTAAGTTCTCTTTTCCAAGAGAAAGATGGCTTCTAGGTATTTACTAGCTGTTTAAGTAACAATTAACTTCAAGTCAATTGATTTGGCTAATCCAAATTACTTACACATTTAACCTCATGTAGACAATGGTGGCAAAATTGATTTTGTATATGTATTTTCAATCATGTTAAGATATTCTGGAAAACATATTTGCCTATTTATACACAGCTTCAGAAAAAAACATATACTTTTATAAAGAGCCCTAACTAAACTATCAAAAGCAGAATGTAAATAGTATTGGTCACCAATGGAACATTTTACATAAATCCTAGGTGAATGTTAGTTTTACAGCTAAATTCCTACTGGAAGAAGGGAAGTGTTCTACCTTCCTTTAAAATCTGGAAGATTATATCTTTTTAATTAGAAAAAGGGATTGCTAACAGAAAGCTAACGAGCCCTGGTGGCGCAGTGGTTAAAGCACTCAGCTGCCAACTGAAAGGTCAGCAGTTTGAACCCACGAGCCCCTTTGTAGAAGAAAGATGTGGCAGTCTGCTTCTATAAAGATTACAGCCTTTGAAACCCTATGATAAGTTCTACTCTGTCCTATAGGGCTGCTATTGGTTAGAACTGACTCAGCAGCAATGGGTTTTTAATAGAAAGCTAAACTTGTATGATCATAAACCTGTACACGTCTTTTTTAAAATCTGTGATGTAAAAAGGGAAGATAAAGTTCAAGTTGGTGATAATGAGAGGGCAGCTGGGAAAAGCCGCCCAGAACATACTAAAGCAGTTTAAAGGCTCCGATATGGCTAAACTCAGTTCAGCCTTAGAGTTAAAGCCAGAATCAGTAACCAAAAGCAATTTAAAATTAATAACTATTACTCTTCTGTCAGTTTGTCATACTGTGGTGGCTTGTGTGTTGCTGTGATGCTGGAAGCTAAGCCATCAGTATTTCAAATACCAGCAGGGTCACCATGGAGGAGAGGTTTCAGCAGAGCTTCCAGACTAAGACAGACTAGGAAGAAGGATCTGGTATTCTACTTCTAAAAAAAATTGGCCAGTGAAAACCTTATGAACAGCAGCAGAACACTGTCTGATACAGTGCCGGAAGAGGAGTCCCTCAGATAGGAAGGCACTCAAAACACGACTGGGGAAGAGCTGCCTCCTCAAAGAACAGTCAACTTTCTTTTTGCTTTACTAAAAAAAAAAAAAACAAAAACAGTTGACCTTAACGAAGTGGATGGAGTAAAGTTTTTGGGACCTTTGTCTGCTGATGTGGCATGACTCAAAATGAGAAGGAACAGCTGCAAACATCCATTAATAATCGGAATACAGAATGTACAAAGTATGAATCTAGGAAAATTGGAAGTCATCAAAAATGAAATGGAACGCAAAGATCTATATACTAGGCGTTAATGAGTTGAAATGGACTAGTGTTGGCCATTTTGAATCGGACGATCACATAATCTACTATGCTGGAAATGATAAATAGAAGAGGAACAACATCACATTCATCATCAAAAAGAACATTTCAAGATTTATCCTGAAGTTCACCGTTGCAAGTGATAGAATACCCATATGCCTAAAAGAAAACCTGGTAGTGTAGTCGTTAAGAGCTACAGCTGCTAACCAAGAGGTCAGCAGTTTGAATCCACCAGGCACTCCTTGGAAACCGCATGGGGCAGTTCTACTCTGTCCTATAGAGTCGCTATGAGTTGGATTCCACTAGACAGCAACGGGTTTGGTTTTTTCAACAGAAGACCAGTTAATAGGACTATCATTCAAATTTAAGCACCAACCACTAATGCCAAAGATGAAGAAATTAAAGATTTTTAACAACTTCTGCAGTCTGAAATTTATCAAACAAGCAATCAGGATGCACTGGTAATTACTGGTGATTGGAATGCAGAAGTTAGAAACAAAGAAGAAGGATCAGAAGTTGGATAATATGGTCTAGGTGAGAGAAACGATGCTGGAGATTGCACAACAGAATTTTACAAAACCAACTACTTCTTCATTGTAAATACCTTTTTTTCACCAACATAAATGGCAACTATACACGTGGACTTCACCAAATGGAATAGACAGGAATCAAATTGACTATATCTTTGGAAAGAGACGATAGAGAAGCTCAATATCATCAGTCAGAACAAGACCAGAGGCCGGCTCCAGAACGGGCCATCAGTTCCTCATATGCAAATTCAAGTTGAAGCTGAACAACATTAAAACAAGTCCACAAGAGCCAAAATACAACCTTGAGTATATCCACTTCAATTTAGAGACCATCTCCAGAACAGATTTGACACATTAAACTTTAATGACCAAAGACCAGACGAGTTGTGGGATGACATCAAGGACATCATACATGAAGAAAGGTCATTAAAAAGACAGAAAAGAAAGAAAATACCAAAATGGATGTCAGAAGAGACTCTGAAACTTGCTCTTGAATGCAGAGTAGCTAAAGCAAATGAAGAAATGATCACATAAAAGAGCTAAACAGAAGATTTCAAACGGCAGCTTGAGAAGACAAAGTAAAGTACTATAATTAAATGTGCAAAGACCTGGAGTTAGAAAACCTAAAGGGAAGAACACGCTCAGCATTTCTCAAGCTGAAAGAACTGAAGAAAATTTTCAAGCCTCAAGCTGCAATACTGAAGGATTCTATGGGTAAAATAGTGAATGACACAGGAAGCACCAAGAGAAGCTGAGAGGAATACACAGAGTCATTGTACCAAACAGAACTCGTCGACATTCAAATATTTCAAGTGGTAGCATATGATCATGAACTAATGGTAATGAAGGAAGAAGTCCAAGCTGCACTGAAGGCACTGGAGAAAAACAAGCCTCCAGGAATTGATGGAATACCAACTGAGATGTTTCAACAAATTGATGCAACACTGGAAGTGCTCACTTGACTATGCTAGGAAATTTGGAAGACAGCTACCTGGCAGATCTACTGGAAGAGATCCATATTTGTACCCATTGCAAAGAAAAGTGATCCAACAGAAGGTGGAAATTATTGAACAGTATCATTAATATCACAAGTAAGTAAAATTTTAATGAAGAAAATTAAAAAATGGTTGCAGAAGCACATCGACAGGGAATTGCCAGAAATTCAAGCTGGATTCAGAAGAGGATGTAGTACAAGGGATATGACTGCTGATGTCACATGCATCTTGGCTGAAAGTGGAGAATACCAGAAAGATGTTTACCTATGTTTTATTGACTATGCAAAGGCATTCAATTGTGTGGATCATAACAAATTACGGATAACACTGAGAAGAATGAGAATCCCAGAACACTTAACTTTGGTCATGCAAAACTTGTACGCTGACCAAGAGGCAGTCTTTTGACAAGAACAAGGGGATACTGAGTGGTTTAAAATCAGGAAAGGTTGCATCAGGGTTGTATCCTTTCACCATACTTATTCAATCTGTGTGCTGAGCAAATAATCCAAGAAGCTGGACTACATGAAGAAGAAGGCAGCATCATGATTGGAGAAAGACTCATTAACAATCTGTGATATGCAGATGACACAACTTTGCTTGCTAAAAGTGAAGAGGACTTGAAGCACATACTCATGAAGATCAAAGACCACAGCCTTCATTATGGATTATGCCTCAGCATAAAGAAAACAAAAATCCTCACAACTGGACGAATAAGCAACATCATGATAAACGGAGAAAAGACTGAAGTTGTCAAGGATTTCATTTTACTTGGATCCACAATCAATGCCCACGGAGACAGCAGTCAAGAAATCAAACAATGCATTGCACTGGGCAAATCTGCTGCAAAAGACCTCTTTAAAGTGTTACAAAGCGAAGATGTTACTTTGAGGACTAAGGTGCGAGACCCAAGCCATAGTATTTCCAGTTGCCTCATATGCATGTGAAAGCAGGGCAATGAATAAGGAAGACCAAAGAAGAATTGATGCCTTTGAATCATGATGTTGGTGAAGAATATTGAATATACCATGGACTGCCAGAAGAATGAACAAATCTGTCTTTGAGGCAGTACAGCCAGAATGTTGCTTAGAAGTAAGGATGGCAGGACTTTGTCTCATGTTCTTCGGACATGTTATTAAGAGGGACCAGTCCCTGGAGAAGGACATCATGCTTGGTAAAGTAGAGGGTCAGTGAAAAAGAGGAAGACCCTCAATGAGATAGCTGACACAGTGGCTGCAGCAATGGTCTCAAACATAGCAAGGACTGTGAGGGATGGCGTAGGACCAGGAAGTATTTCATTCTGTTGTACACAGGGTTGCTGTAAATTGGAACCAACCTGAAGGCACGTAACAACAAGAATTAATAAGGAAGGTAATAAAGTGTTTCTAATTTATCTTCTTTAAACATTTTGAATTATACTTTATATTCTTTAATAAAACAAAAAATTTAATGACTAAAAAATTATAATAGAGTTAAGTTAAAGTGCATTAATTTTTCTCTCAATTAGATCAATTGTTGAATCCATTTGGCCAGAGGGTCATATTCTAAACAATTCACTAGATAGCTGCTACTCTAACCTCATGTTGAACTTAAAAACTTTACATATGAAAACAATAATAGCAAATTAGTAAGCAAAAAATTAATGCTCTTAACACAGTAGGCTACATCTCCTTAAGTTCTAAGTGCCTTTTTAGTTTATTATTTTTACCATGTAGACAAGTGTCCCAGAGCATTTGATTGCACACTGGCTGTTTACTTGGAAATCACTACCTAGGGATGTATGCACAAAGAAAGATAAATCCAGTGGTGTAAGAAGTAGCAGCAGGAAAAAGCAGCAGTACGTCAGGTCCAAATGTAGGAAGACGTGAGTGGAATGAAGGGGTCCACCCAGAGGAGAGTGCCATGGCCTCCCACTCCACTGTCCTGCCAAGGACAGCCCAAGGAGGGCACCCTGACTCCAGCAACCTATGTCTGGAGCCCATTCCAATGTGTAAGGAGCAGAACGTGTGTTCTTCATCAACTACACTCTGCTACTTGTGGCTTACATGACCGAAACTCCTTTATTACCACCCACCTCCTTATCCTTCGTCTGACATAGGGAGTGTACTCCAAGGGAAGGCAAAAATAAAAAAAGTATAAAAGGGACCAATTTAGGATTTGTTCAAAGTATGTAAAGAGGCAGCTTTGATTACTGTAACTCGTTGCTTTCAAGTTGATTCCAACTCATAGCGATCCTACAGGACAGAACAGAACTGTCCCATAGGGTTTCCAAGGAGCAGCTGGTGGATTCAAACTGTCAACCTTTTGGTTAGCAGCTGAGCTCTTAATCACTGTGCCACCAGGGCTCCACTGACTTTGCAAATAAATACTTGCCCTGGAAGCTTGGTGAGAGAACTTCACCAACGAATGCTGTGCCTATCTGAAATAACAGAAAGAAGGGTCGTACATATATCCTCAGGGCCAGACCTTTCTCTCTACCAGGCTCTTAGATGTTGGGGGAAGCGTGTTTTTGGTTTTGTACCAAAGATGCTATTTTTATATCTAGAGAATATTTTAATTTGAGCAACAAGAAATACACTGTTGGAATTATTACCTTCGTTGACTTTCTGAGGATGCCATCCTGTTGTCCAACCCAGGGAAAATGTCACATCTGGAAAGAACGATGTGACAGTATCTATAAATAGTTTTGCATCCATTACTCTGCCATTTCCATTTGGACCAGGAAGAATATCAGCGTTAATCCACACAGGACGCTTCAGATGCCTCTTCACACTTTCCAAGAGCATCATGGATGGTTCTACAGCTGCCAGACTGAAAACATATTTTGTTGTCAATCACACATATGTCTAAAGTAAAAAGAAGTTCTTTTTGACTTTTTAATGTCCTCAACTTCATAATAAAAGTGTAATATGATAATGCCTGAGTTCAATATAATCAAATATTACACAACAACAGAGGGGAACTTAACATATGTCATCTCAAAATGTTGATTTATGCTCATAATTCATGAGGGTACCTTAAAAGTTCTATAAATACTTGAATAATGCCACTACTTGTGGACAGAGACAGGTTTCAAAACTCCCTATTAGGATAACTCAACATAAAAACAATTTAAGAAAAGACACAAATATTCACCATCAGAGAAGGTATAAACAAAGCAACAAGTAAGAAATATTAACAACCTGCAAATTCACATTTATGAAAATGCCCGAGTGCTCCCAGGCACCTTGCCTCTAACACCTGCTCACCACCCTAGAGAAGAGTTTTTTCCTTCACATATGCTTGGGTGAGTCTGGTCACATGAACACGTTTCCAAAAATGATTGTAAAGTATAAAAATATAACATTTTGTTAAAGCTTTTATAAATTTCTTTTTTGTTTTCTTTTATTGTAAGCACCTCTTCTGGAAACCAGAGGCAAGTATATTTTAATTAGTTTAAACCAAAAAGCAGCTTCACTTTCTTTACTTTCTCATATCTATTCTAACTGGCACCTATGGATTTTGAATAATCAGGCTTTAATCAGCCTGCATAATGTTTACTTTTAAAAAATACATTACTTATAATTCTGACTATCTTCTGAATCTTTAGGCCTAAACTGATTTCTAAGAAAATCAGCTTATAGTGCACACTGAGATGGAAGACTAAGAATCCTGGAGCTGGCTGTCGGAGGGGAGAATGTTCAGCACCCCCTCCTCACATATCCATCTCCCTTCTTAAGGGACTGTAATCCTTTGGCCTATGATTCCACCTATCCTCTCTGCATTCCTTTCCAGTCTCCTACCTCAAGAGGAGAAACTGATAATCTCATTATTTATTGGGTCATGTTTACTACTGACAAAGGATTTTTCTTCCAGTTGCCTTTGGGTCGATTCCAACTCACGGCGACCCCATGTGTTTCAGATTAGACTGTGCTTTGAAGGGTTTTTTCATGGCTGTGAACTTTTGGCAGCAAATCACCAGGCCTTTCTTCTGAGGTGCCTCTGGGTGGGTTTGAACCACCAACCTTTTGGTCAGTAGCCCAGTGCTTAACCATTTGTGCCACCCAGGAACTCCATGAGCAAGGATGCTACACATTAAAACCAGAGGGAACCAGCCTCTAGCCTCTCTCTCACTCTGCTCCTATGTGGTGTCTTTTTCTTCCTCTTCTGCCCCTCAAATAGGAGCCCCAGATTTTAGTGGATTAATAAACCCTAATGCTGAACTTTGTAGACTCTAATTTAGATGCTGCCTCAAATGCTTCCTCCCTTGCACTGCATCGATTCCATGTTAAAAACCCCATTCAGAGAGCTTCTCCCTCATCTCTGGCACCGTACTTCCTACAACATTCTCCCATTTTTGGCAGCAAGCAACTTGTACCTGTGATTCCAAAGCTCGTCTGTCTGCAAGTCCCACAGCAGCAGCCAAGTACCCATGGGTTCTGCTCTTCACGGGAAAACCTTGAACTAATCCAAGTCTGCTGCTGACCTCCTCTCTTTGTCCAGAAAAGACTCTGATTTAAGAAATCTGGTGTCGGTGGAGGTTGGGTTAAAAACTAATTTACAGTTTAGATTTCAGGAGGGAGCTTCTTAGGCATTCTCAATTTAGTAAGCTGACATAGGACTGTTTCACATTGGTTTTCCATCTGATTATATCCAGTCTTGAACAGCACATTCTCCCAAAAACTGGAATTCCACCAGCATTTATTAAGTGCCAACTATATGCAAAGCACTGTGCAACTAAATGCAAGAAGCTATGACACAGAATATAATGAAGCAAGAATTTAATATATATATTCGATCTCATAGGTGCACATTTTAATCATCACCAGAAACTTAAATAACAAAGGCAAAACCTATATAAAGAAAACTATAAAATCTTACTAAGGGACATAATAGAAACTTGTCATTGTTCTAGCTCTTATTTTCTGGAACCTAACAACATAATTTTGAAAGTGTTCTGGAAGAGTAAATGTGGAGGAAAAAAAATCACAAAATTTTTTTTTGGGGGGGGGGGAAGACTGAGGACAAAGTTGGCCAGAGAGAAAATATAATGTATACTACACAGAACACATGTCATGTTTCTGGCCTGGAAGACTCAATGCTATAAATTCTGTAAAATGATACATCTCTCCAAATTAAACTATAAATTCCATCTAATTCTAATTAAAAATACCAATGGCTAACATTCTCAGTTCTCAAATGTATTTGTATTAAGTTTCCCATAAAGAACTGCCAAAAGGTTTGCCAAGATAATCATTTGAAGAGGGAAGTCCTAATCAAAATATTACCTAAAATTGTTCTTTGGTAATAATTATTTAAATCCCTAGGAAATAATATAAACTTAGGTTTTTTTTTTAGAATACTTTTCCTAAAAAGTTACTTGTAAGTCAAACTTCTGAATATTTTATCCTATTTTGCTATTAATTTAATTTAAAAATTTAGTATGACAAAATAAAAATGATACTTAAAACCGCAGTAAAACAGTTAAAATAACATTTTATGGGAAAATAATTTTTTTTGCTAAAACACTGATAATACTACTACAGAGTTTTAAAAATCACCATATATTACTTATTATTTGTATACTAGATAAAATAACAGAGGCACAAAACAAGAGCTAGTCCTAAAATGTGGTCATTCAGACACTCTTTCAACCAGGCAGAACAGCGTTCTGGTTCAGAGTATGAGCTCAACAGCCAAGCTGACAGCTCTCCATTACCAACTCTGTGAGCACAAACAGGTTACTTACCCACTCTCCGTTCCCTCATCCATATAATGAGGATAATAGCAATAACCTGCCTCTTAGGATTGTTATGAGGATTTGATGAATTAACACATACAATGCTCTTAGAACAGTGCCTGACACATAGTAAGTGTTCATGTAACTGTTAGTTTATATCAATTCCACTTCAAATATGTTACAACCAAAACACTTGCAAAAGTTTTTAGTGGCTCAGCCCTTCTATGGTAGTTGCTAGCATTTAGGAATGAACGAGCTGAATCTGACCGCTGAGGAGCCAAAGAACACATCATAGGGAATAGTTCAAGGGGCAACAGTAACCAAAAAATTGAGCACATCAGAAGGCAAGATCTAAAACTTGGAGTCACCTAGCCTTAAAGATCAAATGTTCTATTTCATGGGATAGAGAATACTTGACTAGCTCCAGGAGACCTAGGATCTGGTTCTGGCTCAGCCATCAAGCTTAGATGTTGTCCTTGGGTAAATCAGTTAACCTCTCTGGGCCTATGTTTCTTTGTTAATAAAATGGAGTTGGAACGTTGACCACTTTAAAAGCTTTATGATCTTAATGCTGTTGTTAGTTACCATTGAGTTGATTCTGACTCATGGCAACCCCATGTGTGCAGAGTAGAGTCCCTTAATATAGTTCTTTAATTCACATATCCTTGTCAATCCAAACTCCTATATATCAAGTCTCTGTATATTCATTAATTCACCAAGAGTACAATGAGGTTTGCTAGTATATTTAGCCCTACAACAAATGGTTAGAATCATGCCAATAACATTACAAATAAGATTTCCAAGTCCTTACTAATTTCTTAAAGTAATATCAATTTTAAAATATTGTACAGAGATAAGTTTGCCAGAAAGCCAAGATTTCTTTAAAAGCTGCCTTCATGGGGCTTATGGTGAACTTTTGTGGTATCACAATATATTCCCGGCTTTACCTATAATTTTTACACTACCAAAATAACACAAAAGTAAAATTTTTTGTGAGAGCCACAGGAAAGGAAATGACACTTAACCTTGCTCTTCACTTTCAATATCTCTAAAACGTGCAACATTATTTTTAAGGAACACTTTGGTTACTGAAGAATTCGAATAATTCCTTTCGTATGTAAATATAACAACATAAGTCAGGTAGGAATGCATTAACTATACCAACAAAACTACCCCAACTTTCTCTCTCCTAGACTACTTTTTAACGAAAGTAGTATTTTAAATTTACTGTTCTATTATTACATGGTCACTTATGATGAATTCCTTTATAAAAATTAATTTTAGCCTCAAAGGGTCCCCAAAAAACAATTCTAAAAAACAAGTCAGTACACCTTAGGTCCATTCCTGAAACATACAAGAGTCTATAATTCCATTTTCAGTTTGGATAAAGCACAAAGATAGGTAATCAGGCACAGATACATGAGGCTATTAATCTTTTGGTTTTTTTCCAAAGTTACTCTATAACAATCAGGAGATTGGACATTTTTGGACAAATACCTCTTGAAATCCAGCTTGATGCCTTTATCGCTTTTCACAACTTCAGCCAGCCACTCCTGTAGAGTATTATCACTGCTTGTTTCAGGAGGATGGGCCATGATTGGTTGGCCATGTTCTGATCCATCATCAGGAAGAAAGACATCAGCCTCTATCATGTGAGCAGTGCCTGTCCAAATAAAGAAGTTAATGCTGGCAAAACAGTGGGCAGAACTACAGGAGATGCCATGTCCAATAACTTTTTTAGAAAATAAAAGAAAGGAAAGAAAATTAACATTTTCTGAGTACTATGTACAAGGCACTGTGCCAGACCCTTCTCTGTTGTCCCTACTTTGTACAGATGAGCACAGAGGTGATGAGAAGTTAAATAACTGTCCCTCTGCATCTGGCTTGGCTGTTGAATTTCTTCCCAGCACCTAGCAAAGTGTGTATACAAACGGAGGATTAATAAGTACCTGTTTAAGTTTTCTGGGAATAAAAACTAGTACTTTTATCTTCTCACTCTTCAAATCATGTTGTTGTTGTTAAGTGTCACTGAGTCAGTTCTGACTCATAGCAACCCTAGGTACAAAAGAACAAAACATTGCCTGGTCCTGTGCCATCCTCTCAATTATTGCTATGTTTGAGACCGCTGTTGCAGCCACTGTGTCAATCCATCTTGTTGAGGGTCTTCCTCTTTTTCATTGACCCTCTATTTTACCCAGCATGATGTTCTTCTCCAGGGACTGGTCCCTTCCAATAACATGTCCAAAGTACGTTGAGATGAAGTCTCGCCATCCTGGCTTCTAATGAGTATTCTGGCGGTACCTCTTCCAAGGCAGATTTATTTATTCTTCTGGCAGTCCATGGTATATTCAATATTCTTTGCCAACATCATAATTCAAATGCATCAATTCTTCTTTGGTCTTCCTTATTCATTGCCCTGCTTTCACATGCATATGAGGCAACTGGAAATACTATGGCTTGGGTCTTGCTCCTTAGTCCTCAAAGTAACATCTTCTCTTTGTAACACTTTAAAGAGGTCTTTTGCAGCAGATTTGCCCAATGCACTGCGTTGTTTGATTTCTTGACTGTTGCTTCCATGGGTGTTGACTGTGGATCCAAGTAAAACGAAATCTTTGACAACTTTAATCTTTTCCCCATTTATCGTGATGCTGCTTATTGGTCCAGTTGTGAGGATTTTTGTTTTCTTTATGTCGACATGTAATCTGTACTGAAGGTTGTGGTCTTTAATCTTCATCAATAAGTGCTTCAAGTCCTCTTCACTTTCAGCAAGCAAGGTACCGTCATCCTCCTATCGAAGGTAGTTAATGAGTCTTCCTCCAATCCTGATGCCCTGTTCTTCTTCATATAGCCCAGCTTCTCAGATTATCTGCTCAGCATACAGACTGAATAGGTATGGTGGAAGGATACAACCCTGACACACACCTTTCTGATTTTAAACCAGGCAGTATTCCCTTGTTCTGTTCAAATGACTGCCTCTTGGTCTAAGTACAGGTTCCTCATGAGCACAATTAAGTGTTCTAGAATTTCCATTCTTCGCAATGTTATCCAAAATTTGTTATGATCCACACAGTCAAAAGTCAAATGCCTTTGCATAGTCAAACACAGGTAAACATCTTTCTGGTATACTCTGCTTTCAGCCATGATCCATCTGACATCAGCAATAATATCCCTTGTTCCAAGTCCTCTGCGGAATCTGGCTTGAATTTCTGGCAGTTCCCTGTTGATGTACTATTGTAACCGCTTTTGAATGATCTTCAGCAAAATTTTACTTGCATGTGATATTAATAATATTGTTCGATAATTTCCACATTCTGTTTGATCTCCTTTGGAATGGGCATAGATATGGATCTCTTCCAGTCAGTTGGCCAGGTAGCTGTCTTCCAAATTTCTTGGCATAGACAAGTAAGCGCTTCCAGCACTGCATCCATGTGTTGAAACATCTCAGTTGGTATTCTGTCAATTCCTGGAGTCTTGCTTTTCATCAATACCTTCGGTGCAGCCTGGACCTCTTCCTTCAGCACCACTGGTTCTCTATCATATGCTACCTCCTGAAATGGATGAGCATCAACTAATAATTCTTTTTGGTACAGTGACTCTGTGTATTCGTTCCATCTTCTTTTGATGTTTCTTGTGTCATTTAATATTTTCCCAGTAGAATCCCGCAGTATTGCAACTCTAGGCTTAAACTCTTTTCTTCAGTTCTTTCAGCTTGAGAAATGTCAAGCATGTTCTTCCCTTTTGGTTTTCTAACCTCAGGTCTTTGCACATTTCATTATAATACTTTGTCTTCTCAAGCTGCCCTTTGAAATCTTCAGTTCTTTTACTTCATCATTTCTTCCTTTTCTTTAGCTACTCAACATTCAAGAGCAACTTTCAATGTCTCTTCTGCCATCAATTTTGGTTTTATCTTTCATTCCTGTCTTTTTAATAACCTCTTGCTTTCTTCATGTATGATGCCCTTGATGTCATTCCACAACTTGTCTGGTCTTCAGTCATTAGTGTTCATTGTGCCAAATCTATTCTTGAAATGATCTCTAAATTCAGTTGGGAGACACTCAAGGTCTTACTTTGGCTCTCGTGGACTTGTTCTAATTTTCTTCAGTTTCAATTTCAAATTGCATACGAGTAATTGATGGTCTGATCCACAGTCAACCCCTGGCCTTGTTCTGACTGATGAAACGAGATATAAAGAAACAGAAATTTTCTTGGAAGAGTTTCTGGGAGGACTTTAGAGCTGAAGTTTATCTCGTGCAGCATTCAAATTCTTCAAGTACCCAATTACTTTACTTCTGAGATGGCTTCCCGTGCTGACTCAATTCCTTTATAACCCTATAACAAACCCTTATTACCTGAGGTAACCTGAGAGAGTCTTGCAACCCAGAAGTTTGCTAGATGCATGACAGCCTATATAAAGAAACTGCTCCACAAGAGGAATACTAAGCACCTTACTGAGTGCTTACCACATGCCAAGCACTGTACCAGACAGTTTACATACGTTATATCTCATTAATTCTCACAACAACCCTATGAGCCAGGTAGAAAAAACAATTAAATGGCCATGTCAAGGACTCTCAGGCCCCATGTAAAGTATGTTCCATTTGAGTTAGTTTTTGTATATGGGATGAGGTAGGCATCCAACTTCATTTTTTTTTTTTTTTATTTGGATATCCAACAGTCACAGCATCATGTGTTGAAAAGCCTGTTCCTTCCCCAGTAAACTGTCTTGGCACCCTTGTAAAAAAATAATTGGCCATTAATGTATGAGTTTATTTCTGGACTATCAATTCTATGTCATTGACCTACACGTCTATCCTTATGTAAGTACCACACAGTCTTGATCAGTGTAACTCTAAAGTAAGTTTTAAAACAGGAGGTTTGAGTTCTCCAACTTTATTCTCTTTTTCAAGATTGTTCTGCTCTTCTGGTTCCCTTGCACTTCTATATAAATTTTAGGTTCAGCTTGTCAATTTCTGTGAAAAAGACAGCTGGAATTTTGATAGGGATTGCACTGAATCTATAGATCAATTTGGGAAGCACTGCTATCTTAACAATATTAAGTCTTCCAATCCATGAATACAGATTTTTTCATATTTTTAGGTCTTCTTTCTTTAAGTGATGTTTGTAGTTTGGTGTACAAGTCTTGCACTTCTTTTGTTAAATTTATTCGTAAGTATTTTATTCCTTTTGAAGCTGGAATTGTTCTCTTAATTTCATTTTCAAACTGTTCATTGCTAGTGTAGAAATATAATTTTTATATTGACCTTGTATTCTACAACCTTGCTGAACTTGTTTATTAGCTCTGGGCTTTTTATCTTGTGTGTGTGCGTGTGGTGTGTGTGTGTGTGTGTGTGTGTGTGCATGTGCGTGTGTGTGTGTAAATTTCTTAGGATTTTCTATATACAAGACCATGTCATCTGCAAATACAGATTCAGGTAGTCCCTGACTCACGACGGGGTTCTGTTCTGATCACTCCGTTGTAACTCAGTTCTGACGTAAGTCGAATACCTCTTTTTTTTTTGTTCTTTTAGTCTTCATTATTACTGCCTTTTATTATCAGCATCTTTACAAGTCCGATTTTTGAACATCTGTAAGTGAACATCTGAGAATGACAACATCAGCAAATTACATGCTGCAACATCATATGTAGTACATATTACTAACAAAAATATGTACAAAAAATAAATAAATAAAAACATGATTGTAAGCACAGTTCTTCGTAACTCAAATACGTCATAAGTCGGGGACTACCTGTAGTTTATTTCTTCCTTTCCAACCTGAATGCCTTTTATTTCGTTTTCTTGCCTAGCTGCTCTGATTACAACCTCCAGTACAATGTTAAGTAGAAGTGGCAAGAGAAGACATCTCGTCCTGTTCCTGATTTTAGAAGAAAAGCATTCAGTCTTTCACCATTAAGTATGATATTGGCTGTGGGTATTAAGGCAATTTATACTGTCCTAATGGAAAAGAGGAAATTGAGGCTAGGCTCTGTCTATATTGCAGCTAAAGAATGACAGTATTTTAGGTGAAAAAGTCAACTGTATTGGTATTTTCAAACACAATGTTTGGCATTATAAAGACAATGTTCTTCATCTACATGTATCTTAGGGAGACACTGCCAAATCTTGCACACTTAAATGATTTAGTGATACACCAAAAGTAACATTATGTATAATAACAACAACTTCTCTTTAATAAGTACGTGATACAGTATTGTCTCATATGGTCCACACAGCAACCTGGCAAGTTAGGTATTATTATTTCCATTTTATAGATGAGAAAACGAGACTTCGAGAATTTAACTGATTTATCCAAGGACACACCATAGTAGAGGCTGAAGCTAGGATTTAAGAGGGCATTTGACATTTTCACAAAGGTACATTTAGCCCAGCCTAAATAAACAAATAAATGAATGTTTACTTTATGAGTTTTTTAATTGCCAAATAATATGAAACAGATACACTCATCCCACTCCTGAGCCTCATCCCCACACCAGGAATCAGGACTAAGATGGGAGCAGGGGGTGGGGTGATGCTCCGGGATAGTCTAACAGTCAGTGATAGGATAAATGGAAACAGTGTACCCATTTCTTGGAAACAATAACACTAACACTGTCATTTTGACTCTGCTATGAAAACGTTACAACTCAGATGGAAGTACATGTTCTTCTGAGTCCAAAGTCCATGTGCCTTCTCACTCTACCACACAGCTTCTCTGATTTTAAAATTGTAGAACATTTCCTTGTTGGACCAGGTCACTTCAGGCTATGTTCAGCCATTTGAGGATATTCTTTTGTTCTCCCCTGCTGTTGCAGCCAACAGGCATACTTCACAGAACAAGGCTGAGAAACACTGCTATAGGATCTACATAACGAAGAAATATATAATGATTGAATCAGTAACCCAAGAGGCTTGGTTTCTAGCCTAGGCATAAATACTGACCAACACAATTAAATTATGAGTTGGTATACAATAGTTTCATCTACCCACTGAACAAATATTTACTGAGCCTCTCCTTAGTACACTGTAAAAGAGACAAAATGTGTACGGCACAAGACCCTGATCTTAAAATTTTTACTCAAATCTCTGCAATAGACAAGACAGGGTAATATATGAAGATTCCAATAAGGGGCATAGAAAGAGAAATCACTTCTGGAAAATAAGAAAATTCTTCAGTTATGGAAATTTGTTCAGTTTGTACACAAAATGGGGCCCTTAACAAAATTGTTTATTTCAGCCAAAATTTATATTTGGATCATTTAAGTCTCTGGTACCTGCAAATATGCCCAGGTATCAAAAAGTAGTTGAATTCATCAATTATCCAGAGTAATACAAGTAACTGTACTGTCTTACTTTTTAGTGCCTCATTCATCTGAGCCTTGTGGTTAGCTGCATGATACCAGGTGATCTCTGCGCCGTCTTTTGTTGTAATCTGGTTATTTCTCAGAAAATGTTCCAGTATGTTTTCACTCCAAGATCCTAAAATAACGACATTTACATTAAAGAAAATAGATTCTTTAAGGAGTAAAGCACTTTTTTAATAGAAGAGGGCAGAAGATATATTGAGGGAGAACAACAAGGTGATTAGACTGGGGAAAACAAGACTTTGAAAATAGTGAACATGTATTATGATGTGGCAGACATATACAGAAGCCATGTGTTATACACACACACACATATACACACACATATATTGTGTAATGTAATAATTAGTAAACATATACAATAGTCTATAGGTTCTCTGTGAGTCAGAATCCACTCGGTGACAACAGGTTTTTGGTTTAGGATAGTCTGAACCTCTGAAGCATAAGAAAATATGCAGGAAGAAAAAAACTGGTAAGAAGCAGATATTTAAAAGCAGGAATTTTCATATGATGTCCTCTACAATTTGTACCCCATAAATACAAGTAAAACTGATGTAAAGTCAAAGCTGCATTAAAAACTTCCGGTTTGGTACAATTTAATTGTTTTCTCCACCTGAACCTCCATTCTGTATTTATATTAACAATTCAGAATCTTAAATTTACCATTTTTACTGCATGTTCACTTTCAGAATTTGATTCTCAGCAACACTTACACAAGCAACTATGTAAATCTCCTGAGTTAGTATTCACAGATTTATCTAGCATGTATAAGTCTACATAATTCTCACATTAACCACTTTTTAGCAGACCAGACTTTCTCTTAATTAAGCATTAAAATACGTGAGTTAACTGAGACTAAGTGGCTTGCCCAATGCTACATAACTAGTAAGTGGTAGGTAGCAAAAACATTTGAATCTGGGTCTACTACATACTATGCCATACCCCAATATAACAATGAGAAAAAGCTGGAAAACACTGAGAAACAGATAAGATTATGTGTAATTTTACTTCCCTAATTCTTGCTCATTCATTTAAACATTTATTAAGTGTCCACCAAGTGGTTACAAATTCCCTATTCATGAGATGTGTCCTCTGTTAATTTGTTAACTCTGCCTAACAACAGTTGAAAACCTAAAAATATCTATTAGAAACTGCTCATAAAACATCGAAAAAAGAAGTAAAATTTGAGCAGAGAATGAGAAGGCATATAAAGATAACTTCTAACCAAAATGTAAGGGGACCTAGTGGCCACTCTATATTGGGCTACAGAATAAAGAAAGGAGAGACAGGTTGTAGCATCCACTATTCCCAAGCAGTCTCCTACCTAAAACACACGGCCCTATGAAGCATACGCAACAGAGTCACAGGCCCTTTGAAATTAGATGGTAATAGATGGCCATCATTTTTCTATATTAAAGTTAGCCATTTTGGAAGGCACATTAATTGTTCACTAGAAATGTCCAATAGGAAAGTAATTAAATCATAGTATATCTTCACAATAAAATATGTTGCTGTTAAAAATGAAGTTTTTAGATACATCAAACGACTTACAGAAATAGTAATTATGTGTGCTGCCAGAAAAAAATATAAATGTTAGTTATAGCGGGTGTTCCTATGGCACCTTTCAACTCAACACCCTGCATTTAAATTTTTTATAGAAGTAACTTACAAATTAATAATAAAATGCCATCACTGTAGAATTTAAAAACATTTGAGATAAAAAGGACTCCTTTCCCTTTTAATGGGTGAAATTACCACCTTGGACTTAGCCACACTGTGTACAGTACTTTTAGAACATGAGGTTCCAATTACCTATGATTTAGAGTATTGTTATAACTATTTTAAGTAGGCGATAGGCCTGAAGAAGGAACAAGTCAACAGCAGAAGAAATACACCCATAAATCTCCTTAGGAGTGAGGATGGCGAAACTTCAGCTTGCTTACTTTGGATGTGTCATCAGGAAACACCAAATGCTAGAAAAGGACATGATGCTTGGTAAAGCAGAGGGCAAATGGAAATGAGGGAAACCCTCAATGAGACGAACTGACACAAAAGCTAAAACAATGGACTCAAGCATACCCATGATTGTGAAGATGCTACAGGACTGTGCAAAGTTTAGCACTGTTATACATAAGGACTATGGGTCGGAGCCAACTTGACAGCAACTAACAACAACAGTAAATAGGCCTGAAAGGAATCTCTGGGTGGTGCAAACAGAAAACGTATAGGCCACTGTCTTAGTTATCTAGTGCTGCTATAACAGAACTACCACAAGTGGATGGCTTTAATAAAGAGAAATTTATTCCCTCACAGTCTAGGAAGCTAGAAGTCTGAATTCAGGGTGCCAGCTCCAAGGGAAGGTCCTCTCTTTCTGTCTGCTCTGGAGGAAGGTCCTTGTCATCAATCTTCCCTTGGCTTCTCAGTGCAGGGACCCTGGGTCCAAAGGACACACATCCCTAGCTCTACTTTCTTGGTAGTACGAGGGGTCCCTGTCTCTCCGCTCACTTCTCTTTTATATCTCAAAAGAGACTGACTTAAGATACAACCTAATCTTGTAGATAGAGTCCTGCCTCATTAACATAACCGCCTCTAATCCTGCCTCATTAACATCATAGAGATAGGATTTACAACACACAGGAAAATCATATCAGAGGACAAAATGATGGACATTCACACAATACTGGGAATCATGGCCTAGCCAAGTTGACACACATTTTTGGGGGGCACAATTCAATCCATGACAGATAGCTAAGATAAAAAACCCAGAAAATAACAAATGTTGGAATGTGGGGAAACTGGAACCCTTAGCCATTTCTGGTGGGAATGCAAAATGGCACAGCTGGTGTGGAAAACTGTGGTGGTTCCTCTCCTAGATATATACCACTCCTATGTATATACCCAAAAAACTTGAAAGCAGAGACTCAGACACTTGTACACCAATGTTCATTGCAGCACTACTCACAATAGCCAAAAGGTGGAAACAACCTAAATGCCCATCAACAGACGAATAGGTAAACAAAAAGTGGTACATACGTAGAATGGAATACCACTCAGCCAGTAAGAGAAATGAAATCTTGATACATGCTACAATATGGATAGAGCTTGAAGACACTATGCTGAGTCAAACAAGTCTATCACAAAAGGACAAATACTGTCTGACCTCACTTATATAAAAAAACAAGAACAGGCAAACTATAGAGACCAAAGTTTATTAGTGGTTACCAGAGGTGGGAGGAAGGGGGAAAGGCGAGGGGTTATTGCTTATGGAGTACTGACTTTCTTTTACATTGATGGAAAAACCACATTGATTAAGGGTAAGGTTGCACAGTGATTAATACCATTACTGGCAATAAGTTGTATACCTGTAAAAAGTTGAAACTGGCAAAAATCGTGTGATAGATGTATTTACAATAACAACAAAAAAGTGGGTAGCTGCTGAGGCTGCCTATGTACAACCAAACACCTCATGGGATTTGGTTCTGTGGTGTAGAGGTTTAGGGTCATGGTTTCATTGGCCATCGCAGTTAACTGCTCTAATAATGTGTTTAGTGGTTCTGTTCTACCTCCTACTTTGTTCATAGTGCCTGGGGTGTTAAAAGCTTGCAAGCAGCCATATAAGCCACACTGATTGGTTTCTATTCACCTGGAGCAACAGAGAAAGAAGAGTCAGGAATGGGGGAAAAAAATGAATGAAATGTGTGGGTAACTGCCTCCATGAACAAATGCCTCCTCTACCATGAGACCAGAACTGGATGGTGACCAGCTACCATTACTGAACATTTTGATCAAAGATTCTATAGAGGAATCCTGATCAAGAAGGGGAAAACGCACAACACAATTTCAAATTCTTATGGGATCCAGCCTCTCTGGAGCCGTGGAGGCTGGATGAACCCCTGAAACTATTACCCTGAGAGAATCTTTAAACCTTAAACTACAAATATCCCCTAAAGTCTTAACACCAAACAACAACCCATTGCTGTTGAGTCATTTCAACTCAAAGCAGCCCTACAGCACAGACTACAACTGCCCCATAGGGTTTCCAAGGAGCAGCTGGTGGATTTGAACTGCACAGCAGCTGAGCCCTTAACCATTGTGCCACCAGTGCTCCAAAACCAAACAATAGTTTAGCTTAACTCTTAAAGAATGTCTGCCTTGAGCATTGTGCTTTTTAAAGATCTATCTATATTGGAACAAACCGACAACAGCAACTTGAAAAGATTAGATGGGAACCTTAGGGGGCAGTGAGTTTATGTTAATGGGGGAGGAACAACTCAGAAAGGGAGGGTGAGAATAGCTGCAGAACTCGAAGAATCAATGTCACTGAATTGTACATATAGGAATTGTTGAATTGGTGTATATTCTGCTGCGTATATTCTGAAGAACAACAAAATAAATAAATTACAAGAAAAAACAATGGAGAACAATGCGTATAGGTACCGTGGTAGGAAGAATAATACCCCCCCCCAAAAAAAAGTCCAATCTTAATCCCTGTGAATGTTATACTACAGGGTAAGGGGGAATTAAGGTTGCAGATGGAATTAAGGTTGCTAATCAGCTAACTATGAGATGGAGAGACTATCCTATATTATCCAGGTGGGCCCAGTGTAATCACGAGGGTCTTTATGAGTGAAAAGAGGAAGCAGTAGAGTCAGTGTCAGAGTAATGCAGTGTGAGAAGCCTCAACTGGCCACTGCTGGCTTTAAACACAGAGAAAGGGGCCACCAGCCAAGGAATGTGGTCAGCCTCTAGAGGCTGAAGACGGCAAGAAAACAGACTCTCTCCGAGAGCCTCCAGAAGGAATGCAGCCCTACCGACACCTTGATTTTAGCCCAGTGAGACCCATTGAGATTTCTGACCTCCAGAACTGTAAGACAATAAATTTGTGTTATTCTAAGCCACCAAGTTTGTGGTAATTTGTTAGTGAGGCCATAAAATACTAACACAGGTACCTTATGTGTGAGGAAAAAAAAAAAAAGGCAAAGAAGAGATATATGGTGATATATACATAAAATAACTGAAAGGATGCACAAAAACTAGTAACAGTGGATGCCAGTGTGGAGAAGAACTGATTGGCTGGGAGAGTGGATGAATTTTTTTACTATAAATTCTACTGTGCCTTTTGAATTTCTTTATGTTGAGAATGTATTACTTATTTTTTAAAAAGTTAAGCAGGAGAAAATGATTCATATAATGGAAAAATCAAGTAAAGAATTAGTCTCACCAATAACATGAGAATAAAAACAGAACTGATCTGGAACATTTTTCACCTAAGCACATTTATATTCAGCTTTTGTAAACCCTGCATCAATTCAGAAGAGAGCCTATATTCATGCAGCCTGGTAATTAGAATGTGAAAGTCTTTAGAGTAGGAGCTTTGTCCCAGATTTAGATTTTTTTTTTTTTAAGTAAAACTTGGCATTACATGGATTTATACTGAGATATAAGAAAAAGAGACCTAGGTTTAAAAATGGAAAGCTCTGGTCTGAATAGAATGTTCCTTGGAGGTTTAGCATAAGCCTTAGAAACGTTCACATCCTTTGATCTAGCAATTCCTGCCACAGGAATTCAGCCCAAGGTTTAAAAAAAAAAAAAAAAAAGAAAAAGATCAGAAATAAGGAAGAACAATGCAAAGATGTTCATCACAGCATTAGTTCTAGTAAGAAGAAAAATAAGAAACAACTGATAAATACCCAAGATTAGGAAACAGGTTAAGCAAATTATAGTATATCTGTATGATGAAATACATTTCAATCATTGAAAAATATGTTTGTAAAAAACCTTTTCTGACATGGGATGTTATGTTATGAGGCGATTCAGGATTTTAAAAATGCATATTTACTGTAATCTTAACTATATTTTCTTAAAAGTCAGGATTGTTAGAAAATATACCGAAAAGTTACCAGTGGTGCCTCTGAGTATTGGCATTCTGAAGAATTTTTTTCCTACTTCAGTATATTTTATTAACGTTCTATCACGTGCATGTGTTATGTTTACAATCAGGAAAAATTTTAAATTTAGGGAAAAAAAAATGCATCACCAAAGCTAACGCGATTACTGTTTACGTAAAAGATACTGTAACCTTCCGGAGAACTGTACAAGCACGGCTTAAAACACCTCTGATTCCAGAGCTCAAACAACAGACACACTTACTACCAGCTTCCGAAGGTTGTGCAACGAGGCGCTGGAACAATGCCCAGCCACACTGTTTCGTCTGCATATCCCAACCTTGCCCAATTCCCAAAGACCATTTGGTCTGTTGAAATAATGATTTGAGCTAGTGGCACCTTCCTTTTATTCCAACCAAGACCTCTAAAAGCAATATTCCTGCCATTCTTCGCCTTTCCAAATGCTTTTCCCTTAACGCCCACCCCGGGAACCAAGGTTCTCGCCCAGTCGACGGTGGACGCGCGCCGAGCTCGTGGACCCGGGTCCATCTCCAGTCGCCGGACGCCGCTCAGCAACCAGGTCCCAGCAAGAGGAGGGCCGCCGGGTGGGTACCGACGGAGGAGTCTCTCAGAGCGCCCCCACCTGGGGGCAGGAGGCCCGAGAAAGGGCGGGGCTGCGATCCAAGCGCTTTTTTTTTTCCGCCGGCTCGTGCCGAGAACACCCGCGCCGCGGCCTCCGCGGAGCCGGGTCCCGGGCAGCAAGGCCACCGGCACTTGCGCTTACCCAGGCTTCCAGCGGTTGCTGCCATGGTGACCGATACCGCAGTTCGCGCAGACGCTGAGCGGTTGGCGCCGTCGCTGACAGGTCACAGGTGCCGACTGAACAAGCGACAGGTTCTGGGCAGAGTGACAGCCTCTGGCGACCACCAGGGCGCGCGCTTCGGAGGCGGAGGCGGAGGCGGAAGCGGTGCGCAAGCGCAGAGGCTGTGGCTAGAGTTTGGCTGGCGCGCTGTCTGCGCAGCTGGCGTCCGCGATTCTAGTAGAGCGAATTGCTCTTTTTAGAGTGTTGTTGCTGTCGTCGTTAGGTGTCGTGGAGTCCATTTCGACTCATAGGGAACCCGTGTGACAGAGTAGAACTGCCCCATAAGGTAATCAGAAGAAAAAAGCAAGGAAAGTGGACTTTTCAGCCTTCTGAAGAATACCACATTAAGGAGGACGGCATAAGACGAAGCCCCAAGTTTCAAAGCAGTTGCTGGTGTGGGGGACTAATTTCCTAACAAAGCTGGGTATATTTTTTTTTTATTAACATCTTAAGACACAACATCATAACTCCACAGAAATGAATGTTCCTGCACAAGGATACAGAACTAATAACTTGAAGTTCTCTCTCGTCCTCTGTCTACCCGGTTTTCACTCATAAAACACTCCCAGCAACTTGATTCTCCCACTCGCTGCTTTCCTTGCCCTCCTCAACTCTTTCCATAGGGAAGCCAAGCTGGTACAGGAAAAAGTGCCTTTGGATTTAAGCTCATTTGAATTAGCAACTTGGCTCTGTCATTTTCTACTTCTGTAATTCTAAGGTAACTCACTCCGTCGTAAAACTAACGTAAGGGCACATCACCTAACACAAAACACAAATGGTAGCCTCTCACCCAATCCTTCAGATTTTAATATGCTTAAATCTTTCCAGACATGAGTTGTAATTATTTTAAGCTATCCTCAATCATTCCTCCATCTTCTCTAGATGTTCTCTAGCCCAATCAAAAGGATTTCTTAAATTTGATAAACCGCTAAATTTTAAGGACTCCGTTGGCCTTTTATTCAATAGCCTTATTGAGATATACAAGTCACCAATTTACAGCGTACACTTTAATGGGTTTTAACGTATTCATAGTTTGGCAACCATCACTAAATCAACTTTAGAACATTTTCATCACCCTAAAAAGAAACACTAAATCCCTTAACTGTCACCCCTCCTTCCAATTCCCTTAGTCCTAGGCGACCACTAATCTACTTTTGTATGGATTTGTCTATTCTGGACATTACGTATAAATGGAATCATGCAATATGTGATCTTTTGTGAGTGGCTTCTTTCACTTAGCATAATGTTTTCAAGGTTTATCCATGTTGTAGCATTTATCAGTACTTCATTCATTTTTATGGTTGACTACTACCAAGAGGCAGTTGTTCCAACAGAATTAGGGGATACAGCGTGGTTTAAAGTCAAGAGCTGTATCCTTTCACCATACCTATTCAAACTGTATGCTGAGCAAATAATCTGAGAAGCTGGACTATATGAGGAAGAAGGCAGCATTAAGATTGGAGGAAGACAATCTGCATCATGCAGATAACACAACCTTGCATGCTGAAAGTGAAGAGGACTTGAAGCACTTACTGATGAAGATCAAAGACCACAGCCGCAGTATGGATTACACCTCAACATAAAACAAAAATCCTCAGAACTGGACCAATAAGCAACATCACGATAAATGGAGAAAAGATTGAGGTTGTCAAGGATTTCATTTTACTTGGATCCACAATCAGCACTCATGGAAGCAGCAGTCAGGAAATCAAACGATGCATTGCATTGGGCAAATACGCTGCAAAAGACCTCTTTAAAGTGTTAAAAAGCAAAGATGTCTTCTTGAAGACAAAGGTGCACCTGACCCAAGCCATGGTGTTTTCAACTGCCTAATATGCATGCAAAAGCTGGAATCTGAATAAGGAAGACCAAAGAAGAATCGATGCCTTTGAATTATGGTGTTGGTGAAGAGTATGGAATATACCATGGACCGCCAAAAGAATGAACAAATCTGTTTTGTAAGAAGTGTGGCGAGAATGCTCCTTAGAAGGATGGCGAGACTTCGTCTCACATACTTTGGACATGTTATCAGGAGGGATCAGTCCCTGGAGAAGGACATCATGCTTGGTAGAGGGTCAGTGAAAGAGGCAGACCCTCGACAAGATGGATTGACACACTGGCTGCAACAATGGGCTCAAACAATTGTGGGGATGGTGCAGGACCAGGCATTGTTTCATTCTGTTGTACACAGGGTCAGTATGATTCGGAACCAATGTGATGGCACCTAACAAGTGGGTACGTGGTCTCTCATTGTAGTCTTGATTTGCATTTCCCTAATGACTAATGCTATTGATCATTTCATGTGCTTATTGGCCATTTGTATATCTTCTTTAGAGAAATGTCTATTCAAATCCTTTACAAATTTTTAAATTGGGTTATTTATATTTTTGTTGTCATTGAGTTCTAAGAGTTCTTTAGATATAGTCTGATTGTAAGTCTCTTAACAGATATATGATTTACAAATATTTTCTCCTATGGATTGTCTTTTCACTGTCCTAATGGTATCAGTTGCAATACAGAAGTTTTTATGGCCTGCTGATTGCAGTATTAATTCAATATTTTCATAGATTCTACTGACTCAGTTAATATTCACTGTCCTTTTTTTAGAGTTGCATACTGATGTGGCATGAAATGATGATGTCTGAGATTTGCTTTAAAATACTTTAGCAAACAAATAGTAGCTGAAGTGGGAAATCTTGAAAATTATTGAATCTAAGTATTGAAGCATGATGGATATATGAGGCCCATCATACTATTTTCTCTACTTTTGAGTGCCAGTAGACTTGCTTTAAATGTAATTTTATGTACACATATGTAAGTTTGTCTTCAACCAAAATCTTTTATCAGCTATTTTTCTTCAGATTTTGTTTTTCTTCCATCTTTCTTCTCTCCTTTTGGGGCTCATATGACACAAATATTAGATTTTTTAAAAATATTATCCCACAGGTCCCCAAAGCAGTTTTTTCCCTATTGAGACCAGTGAATTTATTTACGTTTTAAAATTTGCTTTTTTAAAATAACTTCTATTTTTTTGTTGAGAACTTCTACCTTTCCATCCAAGAGTGTTTGCCTTGCTTTTTGGAGCATGGTTAAAATAGCTAATTTTAAGTCTTTTTCTGATTAATTCCAACAATTGGGTAGCCTCGGGTTTCTGTCTTTTCTCTTGAAAGTTTAAATTTTCCTAGTTCTTTATATCTTGAGTAACTTTGGATTGCTTCTGGGTCAGATCTAAATCTTCAGAAGAATCTTGGGTTTGGTGTGGTTTTGTTTTAGCAGGTAGTCAATCCAGTTAGGATCAGACCACACATCCTGGCCAGCTTTCCGTGGGCTGTTTCCAATATTAATTTGGTTTTCAAAGCCTTTTAGTGCCATTCTGGTCTCCCCCAGTTGTATGCCACCCAGAGGCCAGTCTAAAAAGCAGGTGGTACCAAACCAAAATTACAAGAAATACTAAAGGGAGTCCTCCGTTAGAAAATCAATAACATCAGGTAGCAACCCAAGACTAGAACACAGGAGACAGCAACCAGATATCAACCCAGATAGGGAAGTCACAAAAATAAATCAAAGCTGAAAAGCAGATGGTGGTCTACACTCCAGTGTTCAAAACCTTTGCTGTGCTGATTCTAGTCAGTCTCATACACGTACAGATTTCAAGTGAACCCAGACTTAACACACAGATTAAAAAGTTCCCTTTCTTCAGTTCAGGCCTGGCAATCTACTGAAAAATCAGCTGTTGAAAACCCTATAGAACACAACTCTAACACACACGGGGTCCCCATGAGTTGGAATCAACTCAATGGCTTTTTTTTTCCCCCCTTCAGTTCCCTCCTGTGATACTCCCACACTCTCTGGTTTCCAGATTCCCCCTTCCTGGTGTTCTGGCTGGAAAGCCAGGGCTTTAGCCTCCCCACATCATTGCCAGGACTACACCCTGGTTTATCCTCAGCCTAAAGGTGAAATGTTTTGGAGGTAGAGTGGTCTCCTGTTAGATTCACCACCTTGTGAACTTTGATTTCTGTCTCTCTGCCCCATAAGGTTGTCAAAATAGGGCCCTGTGCTCACTTAATTTCTCTTTATTTTTGGAGTGGATATTCCTTATTGTCTTAAAATCTTTTTTGGTTTTTTAAGATGATTTTTCTATTTTAAGCAGTGTTGGTTCTTTCAGCAGGTGCATGGGTCTGAATATCTTAGCATACAATTACCAGAAATAGGAAATTTCCCACAACTGCATCTTTGTTTCTACATGACCAAACCCTACCTTTTCTCTTGGTATTTTCTGTACTTGGCACATACTACATGTAGCAGGGAATCTATAAATGTAGACAGAAACGTTTAATTGCCTGAACAATTAATCATTTTAGCACTCTTTACTTAGGGCTGCTTAAAGGTGTAGTTATCTAATAATAGTTGCTGCATGTAACAAATGACCTCAATACTTAGCAGCTTAACAAAATAGACATTATTTCACATGGTTTCTGAGGGTCAGTAATCTGAGATTAGCTTAGTTGGGTGGTTCACATAAGGTTGCAGTCAAGCTGCTGGCCTGGGGCTCAAATCTGAAGGCTTGACTGGAGCTGGAAGATTCACTCATGTGGCTGATGGCAGGAGGCTTCAGTTCCTCAAGTAGAGGACTGCTCACGCCATGGCAGCTTGTTTTCCCAAAGCGAGTGATTCTACAGACACTGCACCAAACATGGAAACCAGTCTTTTATAACCTAATCTCAGAAGTGACATCCCCACTTGTGCCAGATTCTACTGGTCACAAAGACCAATACTGGTACAATATGGAAGGGAACTACACAAGGCTGTGAATACCTGGAGGTGGAGATAGTTGAGGGCCATCTTGGCTACCTTAAACCTTATTTTACCAAAAATTCAAAACCTTTATTATATCCAGAGGTTTATGATAAAGAACATGAATTAACTCTATTTCTTCATCTGTAAAAAGCATAAAAATATGGTTGTAATTGTATCAATGTAAATATAAACAATGTTTCCCAAAAGGTGTTAAATATTAAACTTCAAAGCATGCCACACAAAATCCAAAACAGGAGATACAAAGAACAAGATTAAAAACTACTAAAAATCTGAAGTAAAAAAAAATACTGTATCAATTAAGTAGTAAAAGATAAAATTTATTTGGCAAGGCTTAGTGTCTAGTAGGAAAAAATAAAATTTTAAAATATGGTGCAAATAAAAATAACCTTGCAGTTATTTTAGTAATAAAATTTTTGTTATGAAAACAATAGTTTCCTACTGAAACATATGGTTATAATTCCAATAACAGGTTTTCTTCTTGCCTTTCTGCAATTAAGATGCTTTTATTAATCACTGAGTTAAAGTGGTTTGGCAGAAGCAATGAATCCTTTAAGATCCTAAATATAAACCACATAAGCCAAAGAACCTGAGGAAGTGAAATTGTGTTCTTTGGTGTATAAAGAATACTACATTTTGTGCAAGAAATGGGGGGGTGGATAAAAATATATATTTGTAGGTATTGCTACTGTACCCAAACATTGGGAAGATATGTAAGAAACTAATAAAAAAAATTACCTATTGAAGTTGGAGAATTAAAAAGGAGATAGATACCTACAGCAAAACTTACACTGAAAAACTTAATAACTGGTTTTGAATTTTGAACTATTTGTATCTAACACATATATGAAATTTTTAAAAACCACAAAGAAAAAAATTAAGACATAGAATGACTGGAGGTTTATTTCAAAATGTTTTCTCCTAAAATTTGAGCCATATTATTAAAGTTGTGCTCACTATTAAAAAAAGTTGTATTCTTTATTTAATAAACAATACCTAAGTTTTGCTGCTATAATTTGGGCAACTGAGACACCACAATCAGGCTACTACTTTCATGATTGAATTATAAGGTGAGATATTCAGGTAACATAGAAGACTGGTTTAAAGTAGACTCCTTTTAAAGAGAAAGTTCAGTCTTTCTACATATTACTTATTTTTCCATTTTTCAACTCTTGTGTTTTTTCCTAGACAAGTTTAATGCTGACTTTCTAACAGGTTCTCACACTGCCTTCTTGCTATTGGTATGGTTATCCTCCTGGGTTGTTTTCCAATCACCTAGTGAAATTCTTATCTCTATTACAGCAGTTACTTTTACTACAGTGAAACCTGTGAGAGCCAGAACTCAACAGGACTGCCTTGTTTTTTGGGTCTAGTAAGTTTTCTGCCTTTGACATTGCTCCTTTTAGTGGAAAATAT